TACACGTTTTACTGCTGTATTTTTTGAATAATAATTAAAAATAAAATCCCTTGAATACGGCTATTCCCAGGCTGCTAAAAGATGCCAAAAAATATTTGGTCTTGGTAGTTAAATTCAGCTTGTACGTGTTTTGATACGTGAATGCAGCGAATAAGCTTGACAAGAAAATTCTTAAAAATATTTAGCTAAATTTTGTATTTGAGATTGGAATAGCAGGTGGTGCTGTTGACATTTGTCCCCTGTAAAAATTGGGGCCATAAATTGGTTCCACAGTTGGACCCCATAAAGACTGGCTCTACAAAGAGAAAATAAACTTGCTCTTTTTTTCCCCCCTCTTTCTATCACTGAACTCAGGCATTGGCAGAGGCAAAGACATGTCTAATATCACAGGTCACCGTGGAAAAGACATTTCCACAATCCTAGAGGAAGAAAGGAAAGAGAACAAGCGACCACAAAGGGCTGCTGCGGCGCGGCGCAAGAAACGACGGCGACTAAATGACTTGGATAGCGACAGTAATCTGGATGAGGAAGAGAGTGAGGATGAATTCAAGATCAGTGATGGGTAAGTCTTGCCACCAAGATGATGAAGGGAGTGGAGAATCTCCCTGCTGAGGAAAGGCTGAGGGAGCTGGGGCTCTTTAGCTTGGAGAAGAGGAGACTGAGGGGAGACCTCATTAATGTTTATAAATATGTTAAGGGTGAATGTCAGGAGGATGGAGCCAGGCTCTTCTCAGTGATGCCCAGTGGTAGGACAAGGGGCAATGGGTGTGAGCTGGAACACAGGAGGTTCTGCTTAAACTTGAGAAGAAACTTCTTTCCAGTGAGGGTGACAGAGCCCTGGGACAGGCTGCCCAGGGAGGTTGTGGAGTCTCCTTCTCTGGAGACATTCAAGACCCACCTGGACGCCTTCCTGTGTGATCTCATTTAGGTTCCTGCTCCGGCAGGGGGATTGGACTGGATGATCTTTCGAGGTCCCTTCCAATCCCTGACATTCTGTGATTCTGTGAAGTCTGCAATTTAACTTCCACCACAAGGCACAGATCATTACAGGCTCCTGTAATGATCATTACAGTGACTTTGCATTGCCCTTAACCCATCAGCAGGAGCGTGTGCCCATTGCTGGAACAGAACTGCACAGAGCCAGCAAAAGTCCCCCTCGCCTGGGGGAATGTCATTGTACTGGAACAGCTGCGCTCCAGATCCATGCACGGAAATCAGCCGATCTGTATTTTAAGCACAATGTTCTGGCAGTGTTACTGGTGTGTTTGAGGCCACACTGTGGGGTTCTGTCCGTGGTTGTGTTAGTGAAGGAGCCAGACAGGCTCAGTGCTCTGACTGATCACAGAATCCCAGAATTGCCTCCACTGGAAAAGCCCTTCAAGCTCATCGAGTCCCATCATGAACCCAACACTGACAAGTCCCCGACTAACCCATGTCCCTCAGCACT